CGTGTTGAGGTGAAATGTTGCTGCTTATTTGTTTATTTGTATATTGAAAAAATCAACTGACAATTATTGTCTAAATGAATAAAACTTAAACAAGATAGTTACGGTCAACGGTACGGAAAAGGCCACGTCAGCTGAAACATTGAAGTCGAACATAAAAAAAAAAGTTGTTGAATTGGCTCGTGTTGTGTACAATTTCGGCGCCGTGATTCCAAAAACAGACAGTCGCGTTGACGAAGAGGCCTCTGAGGGGCATACAAATTTAGCTGAGACAGCAGTGTTGGACAGTCAATGTCACCCGTAAGCAGCTTTCCAGCGAACATAGCTTGAGCGACTCACCTCTAATGGTTCGATTCCCAGGAGACGACAACGCTCCTCGTACGGTGGCAAGATCGTTGGGTCACGCCAGTCGAGGAGAGCATATCTCACAAACTTGCGTTGAACGGATTCAATTCGATATGTTTTGGAGATGATGTCATTGTAGTGGACTTTGAAAGTGAGTCTGCAGTCCAAGGTAACGCCGGATCCTTTATTTGTTTATTTGTTATGTTTGCATCAACAGACTAGAAATAGTCCCAATGACGTGAAAGTTCGAAGAAGTGGAAGTCTTAGGATAAGACTGTTGCGTAGTGGTCGAAGTTGAACATTAATGTTCACTTGTTGCAGAATTGCTTCGCAGTCGATTATTGCTTGCAGAGTATCGGCGATGAATAAGGCTCTGAAAACATCTCTTCTGATACGTAAGGGCTCGACATTGATCAATTGACAGCAATTCTCGTAGCTTGGAAGACGAAGTGGGTATTCCAAGGCAGCTTACGGAACTCGAAGCGAAGAAAACGTCGTTGCACTTATTCAATTCGCTCGGCCCTATTATTTTAGTTCGGGCTCCAGATTGCAGAGCAGTATTTCAACGTAGATCGTACGAGAGGGCAATAGAGCGATTTCAAGCAGAAATGTCTGTGAAGTTCTTAGTAATCTTGAAAACAAAGCCAAGAGTTCTGGACGCTTTGTCGACGACATACGATATATGGTGTTAGTATGTCAGCTTTGAGTCCAGAAAAACGCCTAAGTCTTTCACGCAATGCACCCGTTCGATAGTCGTGCCTAGTAGTTTGTAGTTGAAAATAATCGCTTAACTGGGTTGACCACCAGTCGGCTTAGACTACAACAGTCAGCAAAGATATCAATCTGATTTTAAAGAGAACGACAGTCGGCGAGTGAGCGGATGCGCAGGAAAACTTTCAGATCGTCTGCAAACGATAATCATGGCCCTGTGATAACATGGTGAACGTCGTCGAAGGAGAAATACCAATGGCTATCCTGAGGTATACCGGACTTTGCGCAGAAACTTGCTGAGCGACACCAAAGTTACTGTCAGTTGGCGCTCGGTAAAGTATGAACGAAACCATCTCAAAAGATTTCCTCCGATCCCTAGCCTATCAAGCTTAGCGATCGCAATTTCGTGGTTCAGCTTATCGAAGGCTGCCGTAAGATCTGTGCAAGTTTAGATGCTGCTCTAGAAATTGTATCTGTAGTGGCGTCGACAACGCTGAGCGTTTGGTTGACCAAAGGAACATTACTGGCCGCGGAAGTAATGAGATTAGCGAAGAGTTGCTCATCTTCAAACATACTAGCAAATTTGGCTGAGAACAGGTTGCAAATGTCTTGTTGATTGCCAGCCGTTTCACCATTAAAAATCATGGAAAAAGGTAAGCCGACTTCCCTGCGATGCTCATTTACGAAGTTCCAGAATGATTTCGGGTGTGATTTTAGTCGCCGTTGAATCCTCCTTTGACAGCGTTGAAAACAGAGACGACTTAAACGCTTATACTCGTGGTTGAGTCTGAAATAGTAACATTTCAGCGGCAGTGTGAGGAATTTAGTAAATCTTCTGAGAGCAGCCGTCTTAGTTCCTTTCAACGAGCGAAGATCTTTCGTCATCCACGGGACGCGAGAGTCGATATGGATGATCTTTTTGGAAACGTGTCTGTCAATGACATATGCCAAGACGTGAGAAAATGTTTGTGCAACCATGTTGACATATACAGGATCTAGAATATGCTCCCAATTTAGGTTAGACAGCACATGGACAATACTGCGATGGTCAACTCTACGGAAGTCATATGACATAGCGTTTGGAGTGCTAATGGAATCATGAACAATATTATTTTCGATCACGATAACTAAAGCAGGGTGATGATGCACTTTCTTGACTAAAGGTTCGGGTGCCGTGGAGAGGAAAGGAGCTGTTTCAAGAGCACTCACAAAGCAGAGATCCACTTAATGTGCTCTACACGAGCAAGACAGCGTCCGTAGAGAACATAGTCAAACATGATTGGTTCGATTTTTCGGTGATAGGAAATAATGTTACATTTTTCGATGCTTAGACTCATCAAATTTCTTGAGCACCAGTCAGCAAAAATACCTAACATATTCTGGAGATCACAACAGTCCGAGAGACTTTTAATAATTTTGTAGATTTTCGTATCGTCTGTATAGAAAACGCGGCATCCTGATGGTATCAGCAAGGCGACGGCGTTTAAAAAGATCGAAAATGCAAATCTCAACATCTAGAAGTATAGAAGATCTGAAAACTAACTCGGTGCTTTGCTTCTTTGCGGCAAACGCTTAGATAGAGGAAATTGCTCTAATGTTGGCCTTTCGAACTGTGCGGCCATCGATAAACATTTCCTGTTCTTCAATTTTTCTTAGAACAATGCGTCATCTGGACAATACAAATAAATATTTTTGGTTGCTAGTGACAAATTGGCGAAAAATGTTTGCCTTCGAAGTGTATGTATGGACCCACATTAGAGACCCTTAACCCTACATTTTGAACTTCAAACATTAATGTGAACGTAACCTAATGAGTAAAAGGTGTCCCACTATAGTCGCTATATTTTTATTCTGGCGGATAGAATTTCGATCTATAAAAAAGTGGAACCAATTCAATATATTGTAGACCAACAATTGAAAAGGTACTATCAACTTTTATAAACAAAACGTTGATTGTTCTTTCCTCGCCAATCGAACGCAAATTATCAGTATTATCGGATAGGGGAAACTTTCCTCAACCCAACGATGGTGTTAGTTAGCGTAGATGAGCCTTGAGTCACGAGAAAGGGGTTTCCGAAGTTTTGTTCGCAATAACTGGTCGTGATTTGCTCGATTGGTTCCGCTATTTGACAGCTCAATCAACCACTTCATTCGAGCAGTCATTTTACGTTTACTGCCACTCGAACTTTGAAATAAAACATTATTTTGAGATTTTTTGAGAACCATAAAAAAATAGAAATTAGTTGGTCCAGTTTTGTGGAATTGCAGGTAGAAAGTCACGCCAAAACTGCTTGACAAGGTGGTCAATTGGTTCCCGAGATTCTATCCGCCAGACTATGAATTTAGCTACTATAGTCTATAGTTGTCATCCACCCTTTGAACTGCTAACACTGGTGATACGCCGTGGAAATACACACTCGGAATTTTCTAATTTGTTGTTTCACCTTGGTTTTTCCTTCGCAAATTTGGCGAGAGTGGAATTACACCCGGAGAATTTTTGGTCTTCTTTTTGTTCGTTGTTTACATGTGATCGGATGCATTTCAAATCAATCGGGTGTGACTAGATACTACATAATCAATACGTTTTGCATATTAAAACACTATAATTCTTAGTTTTGGTGCAAGGCGTAACAACCAGATGCATCATAGAGTTGAAAATTGGAAATAGGGGAAATGACGGCTTCGGCATGACAGACTATTTTCGGCAACACAAATTGAAACACTATTTTCACTGGATTTTCTTACGAAAACACTTCGTTGAATGCATGCAAACGATTCTTTATGCTTTCAGCTTCAATTTGACTATATTTTTACCACTGAGAAAAAGCAATCTAGCAGGGTTTTCTTGAAATGAAACACACGCACTACAAATTGTAGCTGATTTCTAGTTGCCGATAATAGAACAGCAGATTTACATGCAGTTCAAATGAAACGGTTGCCGAAGAAAAACTGGTTGCCGACAATACTCGCTCTCACTAGAGAAGATTGGAGCTTTGTAAAAGCGTTTCAAAACAGTTTTTGACAATTCTTTCGACTGAAATTGTTAGAGCAGCTGGCAGCAAAAGATTGTAAACAAACCAATACTGCATATGTGTGCGTTCCTTAGAGAAAAAGCCTATAGAAAGAAGGTTGCTGCTTAGGTTGCCGAGAATACGTAAATTCCCCTACGTCATGTAAAAGGAACCGTTTTTGATGATTTGAAATTATGTTTTCTTCTACTTTTTCATGTTTGAGTAGTTTCGGAACTGTTATCTCTATATTTGGCAAAATATGGTTTGTTAACATTTTGGCTCTTCCGCCCCTTTCAAATGTTAGTTTTCGAAATTAGGTTCAGTCAGACGCATAACGATAGTTAGAGAACCAGAATTTGGTATAAATCTGCTTTTGGGACAGCTTACAAGGTTCAAAAATTTAAATGTTCATTATTGAATGGGATATGAAAGCGCGTGTCAGAATTCACGAGTAGGTATGTATTAGCAGAAAAAGTTGGTTAGTCATTTCAAATTCATCAGCACCCAAATTATGATATATTTATTCTTACAAAATAAAACGGATTTCAATCTGCTATTGTGACCGTCGGTTACACGCCGCCAAGCCCGCGCATCTGGAAATCAAATGAGCCGCGCAATAGTTTCACTGCCATTCTTCACATCTTACGTTTTTGTTTTTATTACATCGTTATTTGTTTTTTCCTTCCACTCATGTGTTCTAGTAGTACGTGATTTCTTTGCCAATGATTCCGATTTCCTTCTTTCCCCCACTTGTTTCTACCCCTCAAAATCCTACTGTTTGCTTTTCGGTTTTGGGCTAATATGTTATCGATTTAGCTACTGCAACTCAGTTCGATTCTTGTACGTCGTGGGTCGTGGAATGGGGAAAAAAAATCATGTGTCGACGATTAAGTTTATGAACCCCTTCGTGCTAACCAAATTTCTGAACCATTTAAGGTAAACAAAATTCGCGAACAGTGTCAGAAGCAGGAGGACACCCTCAAAGAGCAGGAAGGTGAATTGGATTCTCGCCGTTCCGAGCTGCAAAAGCTGAAAGACGAAGAGCACGCGCTTGAAAAGGAATACCACTCCAGTACCAAAGACGTCGATCGGCTAACGTCCCAACTGCAGGACACGCAACTCGAGATTAGCCAAGTCAAAGCGATGGTTACTCAGATCCAAGAGTACCAGCGGCAGATGACCGACGCGTTGGCCATGTTCCGAAACGCCATCGAGATCAACGATCCGGTATTGGTGTCCGATTATTCGTTGAAGATTGAACCCGAATTTAGGGAGGCCATGCAGGCTCTCGAGGATAAGGAAGCCGAGAATGCCAGCAAGCGTGATCCATTTGGAGATAATAAAGCGAACGGTTTCGGTGCTAATGCCGACGGGGAAACAGGGTTTGGCGATGATTTCAAAACTAACGGATTCGCCACGCAGTTCGACACGAGCAACGGATTCCAAAGTGGCGGATTCGAGGACGGATTTGCCAATGCATTCGATAACAAACCAAGTGATCCGTTTGCTTCGTCGATCGGTGTGGCACCGGATCCGTTCGCCGAACAACAGGGAACCGTGCAAGATGTAAGTTTGAATGTACTTATTTTGACGTTTTGAGAACTTACTTTGAATGTCACAATTGCAGACTTCCAAGGACGAGTTCGGGTGTGATCCGTTCGCCGTATTGCACGCCCCTACCACCGCTAGTCAGATACTCACTCCTAGCCCTAGCAAGTCGGTAGCACCTCCTCGGCCGGAATCACCTAGTCCTGCGTTGCCTCCGAAGAAGGCGAAACAGCCTCCACCGAGGCCGGCCCCGCCAAGACCATTGCAGGTTTGCATCGCAAGCGTATTTCCTTTTCCTTGCTCTCAAACTTACTGACTAAATCGTAAATTTCAGGGTCCCACACCGACGAAGCCTGCACCACCAGCGTCGATGTCGTCGGATGCATTTGGCGACAGCAGCGGCGGCGGCAGTTTCGCCAACTTCGCCGACTTCGACAATAAGGTGATTGTCAATAATCGTATTATCTTTCATGTTGGCACAAAACCTAGATGGACCTAACCTCGCACGAACACACGCGCAAGCTGCAAATGGTGTAGTTTTGCACTTGTTTAGTTTTTCTTTTTTCTTTTTATTTGATAATAGGTTTCTTATAATATGCCTGCTAATAACCAACCAAAGAACATTGAATACATACCTATCGTTTGTTTAACCCTATGTATTCCGCTGCTGCATGCCAAAGCTACTAACATTTAATTCTTTGGTTGTTTTTTTTTTCTTTTGCTTTACTTTAACAATGTTCAGTGGCACAGCCGGAAAAATGTATAAGAGACGGTTTCCCTACCTTCCCCTTGGCTGCGCCACGATCACTGTCCCGCCCACTGCATGGTATTACTTAGTGCAATAGTAGTGTTAGATTTGTAATTTAATCAAAGTAAAATACTAATAAATATACTGACTACTTTTGTGTTTTATTGCTAAACATTGATACTAAACCTTTAAACTTTATACCTGCACTTGTTTCATCAACTTCATGTGATCATTCTCATGTTTCCATTTTTATTAGAAGTCGTATATATTCGGTACTTGTCATTTATAAAATTCTAAAGCGAATTTTAATATCTGATGCCTTTATCTCCAGCATTTTTAGTACAGTAAACCGCTATAATTCTACCAATATCTGTGGCATAACCTTGCTAAAAAAACTAAATTCTTCCATATGTCTTTGCGCCTAAGCCGTTCATAATCCTCGTAGACCGAAATTGGACTCTTTTCAACCCCCCTTCGTTTAGCGGTAGCGATCAACATTTATTTTCGTCGCAAAGTATAATCCGCATGCAGTGCATATGCGTCCTATAATTTAAAAAAAAAGAAAATTAGGTCAAATTATTGATTTTCAATTCCAGCTATCAGCTGAAAATGCACTGAGGGACAATATGTGTCATATGGAAGAGGATTGGGAAATCCCGTACCAATCGGTTTTTTAGTCCAGACTATTGAATTGGTTTAAAAATCTATAAGCCTGAGTTTAGACAAATTCAGGATAGTTCCATGATACAGAGACCTTCAGAAATATTAGAATTGAGAGCTTTAGGGAAGCTCCGAGAGCATCAAGACAGATCAGAGAATTAAAGGGCAATTCAAAAAGTGTAAAGGAAATTGCAGAAAGCTTAAAGAAGTTTCAGGAAACTTAGGGAATTTCCGGTAACTTCGGTTTGCTCAGAGAAAATTTCTGGAACGCAATAAAAATTATATGAACATCCGGATAATGTGAGGGTATTTCAAGTGTGTTATATCATGGAAATTTCAAGATCTAAAAAATTTCGAAAATTTAGGTAAGTTGATAAACATCAACATCAACGAAGCTCCATTAATTTAAAAAAAAATGTGAGAACTTTTAGCAAACACCGATATTTTCAAGAAATTCCAGAGTACCTCTAAGAAATTTAGTATTTTGAGATTGCTTCATTATATTCAGTAAAGTTTCGATAACTTCGAGAACGAACAGATAACATCAGAAAAATCCAATTAACTTAAGGAAATTTGCAGCGACTTACAAGGAGTTCCTTGGAATTATGGGATATTCCGAGAATTCTTTGATTGATCCGAAAACTTCAGAAGATTCAGGGAATAATAAATATATCTATCAGAAATTTTACCAGAACATTTGATCAATTTAGAAAAATTAGGTTAAGCATAGTAAACTTAAGGAATGTCCAGGCTTTACAGGGAAAATTCGTGATTTAAGACAAAGTTCCATGAGCGTTTATAAACTTTATAAAACTTAAGGAACATTGTAGGACTTGAAGGCAATTCAATCAATTCCAGTAACATGGTGGGTTTTTTTTAAATATACTAAGATATTCAGGGCAGTGTAGAGAATTTTAAGGAAATTTAGAAATATTTCGGGCAGTTTTAAAGACATCAGAAAACTCTAGACTATTTTTTTTTCTTGATTTGTATTTCCGTCGATCTTGTTTTCCGTGCTGAGCGCCAATGCTACCGACGCCAGGGAGGCAGCTCCCACACCTGGACCCTACCTATCGACCCATCAACTCATGAACCGGGGACCAACGGCTTTACTTCCCTTCCGAAGAAAGGCGTGATCAGAGATGTTAAGCCTCATAACATCCCGGCGGCGCCGACTAGGATTAAACCCAGTCCTGCTGGGGTGAGAAGTAATCACGCTTACCACTACACCACCGGCGCCGCTGACTCTAGACTATTGAAGAAGTTATGAATTAGTTTCGATAATTTGAACTTCGGACAAATCTTGAGAACTTCAGTGAAAATCATAGAACTATATTAATGATTTCGTTGCGGTAGCTTAAAGAAGTTCCTGAAATTTCAGAATAACTTCGAAAACTTAACAGAAGTACAGAGATCTTCAGAAACATTTTGAGAACTTCATAAACTATATGGAACTTAAGGGAAGATCCGAGACCTTCAGGAACTTTTATGGACATTTCGATAGCATTTCAAATAAGTTTAGTAAAGCTCATAAACCAAGGGGAATTTCGAGAGAGTTCAGTTTCACTAAATTAACGGGAAATGTCCAGAAGTTCCCAGATTTTCAGAGGAACTTTAGAAATGTTAAGAAAATTATTGAGGTTTTTTAGGACAGTTCAATTAAATTCAGGGTAGTACGATAAGCTTCATGAGAACTGCAAACACTTTAGAGAAGTTTCTGGTACTTCATGAAAGATGTTGATCTCGCTAATAAAGCTCTGAGCATCCAGAGCAGGAAAATTACATAAATTTTAAAAAAGTTTCGAAAAATTCAGTGAATTGTTAAATCTTTAGAGAAGATTCATGATCGTTAGGAAAACTTTGGAAACTTTAGAAAGTCCGAAAAAGTTAAGGGAAGTTAAAACAAATTGATGCATCAGGTTAGTTGCTCTACAAAATAGCTTCAAGGTAGTTTCATTAACTTTAGGAATATTTTAAGAACTTTTAAGTAGTTCTGAAGCCCTCAGAATAGTACATTCCATATTCAACGGAAATTTCTCATCAAAATTCGCTCGGAGTTCTCCGCATCATGCACTCGTATTCTCCCGAAAATCTCATGGAAATATTTCAGAATTTCACTTAGAACGCACACAAGAATATAGTTATAATACTTCTTGCAATTCCATTGAAATATTCCTCAAACTGTCGTTGGAACTATCCTCCGAATTCAATTTTCTTTTAATTTTCCTAGGAATTGCCTTGAAATTCTCCTCAGTAAGAAATCTATGGAAAGATTCTCAGAATGTCCATTGAATTCATTTCAGTTTTCCTTTTAAATCTCACTCCTTCCCTTGGAATTCTACTCACATTGAAAGTCTCCTAAAAGTTCATTTTCATTTCTCCTCACAAATTCCTTAGTTTTCTCCCCTTAATTTGTTTGGTAATCTCTCCTGGAATTATTTTCCGAATGTCTTTGAAGATCTCCTTGAGTTATTCTCAGTTTTAATTGTAATCCTCCTTTTAGCATCCCCATCACCCCCTAAGCATTCACCAACAAAATGCAAGGACTTATGCTCCGATTTCGTTTTTTTTTATATCTTTATTAAGGAGACTTTCAGCCCTGGGTTGGTTCGTCTCCACATTTCGTTGTCTGTCACTAACTTTATGAAATTATCCTCAGAATGCCCTTGGAATTATCCTGTGAAGTGGAGGAGAAAATCTTATGAGTTTTCATTAAAATTTATTTTAAATTTAATTCCGGGTTTTCTGGAAATTTTATTCATCTTAGGCATCTCATGAGCAGATTGTACTCTTTTTGTTTGTTTTTCTTATAGATTTTTTTCCTCGGAACTCCCGTGGAATGAGGTTTTTAGAAATTATAATAAAATTGCATGGGCCTTAAAACTGTGCAAGGAATTTGACTCCAGATTCTTGAAAATTTCTTGAAGTATTATAACTTTTCAGTTTAGAATTATTGAAATCTGTAGGAAATATGTATATTGATGATGATAGTGGTTTCCCGAGCAAAGCTGAAGATCAAATTGAAATCAAAATTTGCTGTTATGATGTAACTTATTTTGATTGAGTATTCTCATTTTGGTTGACTTAACGGTTAACACAGCAAAAATGAGAGCAAAATTTTACACTGTTGAAGCAAACGGAAAACTAATCCTGCTTTCAATGAAATCAATTTGATTACTCATTTTGCATTCATAATGTTTAACTGAATACGGGCCTGGCATAAATGGTTAGCATCCATGCTTCTCACGCTGAAAGACTGAAAAGTTGAATAAGTCAAATCTCACCCCGGGCAAGTAAGCCTATACGCATCTACGGAAAAATAAAGAATCTCCTTCCAGCAACTTGATCAGCCAATTGATCAAAAAGACGAGCCTCCAAACAGGAAGATGCCCAAATGAGTGGGGAGAAGAGCCCGCTTTTTATCCACGAAATGTTATCAACAGGGAGTTGGCATTCCCACTCTCCCCGTCCAAATCGCTTCAAACGGGTGCCCTGTTGGACCGTCCCTTACCTTTGATATATGTATTTCAATGTATATACAAGTGGATTGTTATGATTATTGTCAATAATACTTACATTTCGAAGAAGATCGTGCTACTTATTTTACCTTTTTTGTGATACTCATCATCACAGAATTCATCCTTGAATCGTAGACCAGCTCCATCAACAATACACTCGTTCCGAGAAGGGGCTCATGGTCATCGTCTTCTTCTTCAGGTTCGCTCACCACCCGGAATGAAGGCTCGGTGCGGTTAGTAATACATGCAATCGAAAAAGAGATACAACCAGGATTAGTTTTTAAAATAATAGTTTCATCTGAATACCCAACTAATCATATTTCAGTGACACTGGCGCACTCTGATCCTACATTTAAAGTTATTTTGTGGTTATATAGTTACTTTGATAATCACATGAAATGTTGTGCAAGTACCACAAGTTCAACAACTCCCAACTATGGACAGCTCAATGTTAATACCATTTACTCTTTGAATCAGCGTACACCAACATGATAATCTTCTAAGAAACAGCTAAGA